ACATGAGTTGGTTAAGATTCACTCACCGGTCCAGTGAAGGAGAGAAAATGAGAGACTGGGAGGGGCAGGGACTGGAGGGTATAGCAGACTTGAGCTTTCTGATGGCCACGTGACTAAAGCGTGACCTCCTTTCGCTGCACGTTTTGTTCTTAGAGCTTGCATTCAGCACCACCCCACCGCCTATCAAACTGGAGAGATAAATAGTTCCTATCTGCCAAATCTTGCAAGCTGAGCAATGACCCAGTGGAGCTCTTTGAAGAGTCAAAAGTTCAACATCTCACTGGGACTCCTAATGCCAAACAACATTTGGAGCCCAAACACAGATAAGCATACTGCCACTGTCATCATTTTCTTCAATTAATAATTATTGAAAATACATAGGAATCTTGGGAAGGTATGAGGAGGAGTGAAAGAAAGGGAGAAAACACCACAAAGACAGCCTGTATGACTCTGAACAGAAAGGCTGGCATCAAAAAGGGAGGCTCATTGCCTCTGAGTCCCTCTCTGATCCTAACCTCTGAGAGTATGATGCACTTTGTTATGGTTCTTTAAACACTATAATTCTTTATAGATATTACACCTTGCCTTCTGGACTCAACTGTAAGCTTCTTATGGGCAAGGCTCAGGCTTAAGTGCATATTGGCAATTAAGAGTATAGGCTGGGATCAAAGCATGACTTTACTACTTAAGAGCTGGTCAAGCTTGGGAAAGTTACTCATTCTCTCTGTGCCTCGGTTTCCTTGTCTGTGAAATGGAGATAACAACAGTGCCTCCCTCAAAGGACCACGATGAGGATTAAATGAGTTAGTATACAGTAAGTGTGATCTACCGATCAACTCTAAATTTCCTATACGGTCTACCTGGCATAACGCCTCTCACACATTAGATGCTTATTAAATATTTGCAGACAGGATGATCTGCCCCGGAGTTGTTGTCTCCATCTCTCTCATTCCTATCCTAACTTTCTTGTCTTTTATGAAAGATAGGTAAGTCACTGACTCATTTATAGCTATTTGGGAGACTACGGATAGCCCATCTAAACGATGCAAGTCAAAATAAAAAACTTAAATTGTCCTCAAATTTCCTCTAATTATATTAAAACAGACTGCCCACTAACAGCAACATAAAGAGATAATTTCCATACTTAACCTTCATTCTGAACCATGTAGTCTTAGGATCTTTCCCTCCAGACAATGCTCACTAATTCTAGATTTCTTTATTTTCTATAAAGTATAAATGGGAAGCCGAATGGTTCAGAAAGCTGAGCCTAGTGTATGTATGTGTATACGTGTGTTAAATTTTTAAAAGTTCACATAAAAGCCACCAGAAAAGCCTCTAAAGTTATAAAACACACTCATATTAATGTGATTTATCAAAGTACTGTAAATGAATTGTCACAAAAATGAACAATTGCTCCAGGGTCAAGTAGATGGCACAATGTGATTTACGCATATCACCCAAGATGAATAAATCAAAGGTGGAAAAGATCAAAGGAAATGCTAGAATTGTTGTTAACATGTACAGGGCTTGACTGAAAATCTTAATAAAACTTTAGAGGAAAATAGAGAGGTCGTTTGTTTCTATGAAAAGAGATACTGCATGCGCTTAATTTCAAAAGCAGCATTCATTTTCATATACACACATATTAGGTTTAGCTAAAATTAGCTCACGCTCCTATTTTTTAAAAGGTCTTAAAGGAATAAAGGTTTTGACACGATTTCATTGAGCTGAGTTTCCAAGGTGCCTGAGCTTCTAGGGCAGACTCCCATTACCCACCCATGCATCATCCCCACTTCTCCACCCACCCTTCCTCCACCTAAGGTCTTAAAGAGGAAGCATATAAAGGCTGTGCCACATCCCAGCTCCTCTCCGCTGCCTCTTACCTTCTCCCTACATATTTTATGCCAACTGATGCCATCCCTGAAATAACAATCATCCCCTCCTGCCTGTCATAATTTCTGCCAGGCATAAGAATCCAAAGCTGAATTTCGAAGATCACTTTTATGCCAATGACTCCTCCAAATTTATCTCCAGACCTGACCTCTCAGCAATTTTATTCCCACAGTCTCTACTGTCAGCCAGACTCCAGCAACTCAGGTGTCCTCCAGCACCTGTGCCTCTGCCAAAATGGCCTTGTCAGTTACACACTCTGCACTTGCTTATTATATCCAGGCCACTTCAATGGTCTTCCTCCTGCTCTATCCATCTCTTCCCACAGAAATGCTAACCAGCCTTCAGAATTGAACTCAAATGATCCCTCCTCCTCAGTCTCTCCTCATCATCCTACTCAGCATCATTCTTCTGAATTGCTTCTCTGTTAGAATGTACCCTGGTAAGTACAACCCACCCCATTCCGCTTTGCTTTAGTTATTTCAGAGCATTTCTTCTTTCCCCTACCTGACCACGAGGAATACAGTATAACCTCTTTCTGGTAGCTCTTACTTTCATGCCCACGGCACTATGTAGTAGTTTCAAAAGTACACAGTGAATAAATGAATTTACATAGAGTGACTGTGACATTTCTTTACACAGAGAACGACTGTGAACGAGTTAGGTCATAACTTTGCTATAGCTATATCATTACCCAGAAAATAACTAGAACCAGAAATAATTGTAACCTAGGTTTTAATTTCTTAAAAAAAAAAAAACAAAAAACCTGTAATGAATATAACAGAGTACGACATGAATGATACTATTTCCCTGCCCACGTTTAGCCATCAATTGTGAGGACTGTAATGAGGCCATTATTTATGCAAAATGTTTAAATAATGGTTATAAGCTTCCTTTAAATGCAATCACAGAAAATGTCAGCTGCTTAAAATTCAAGGTGACTCTGCACTACTTTGTCAAGTATTATGAGTACGAGTATTCATAAGACACAATATATGATAAAAGCCTCAATCTCGTCTCAATAAGCTTGCACATACTGACCAAAAGATATGATTTTCTGATGCCTACATTTGCACAGTAAAACTCTCTAATAAACACCCACAGGTTTAAAAAAAATTGTAAATGTATTAACCACATATGCAATGGAAGTACTTCCGTAAAAACTTAAATGTGAGGATTTTCTGCCTAGCATGTAACTGTTAAAATGGGTAACATCGCTAAGGATAAAGTAGCAGTAAGGCATCCCACCACTTTCCATTCAGCTGATACCTGTAGACCTTAAGAGGCTTACCTTTGCATAGAACTCCAGGGTTATCCTATTTCCTTTCAAAGAACACCTCCCTAACACAGCCCAGTTCCATATTTCACAAGGATGTAATGTTTATGATAACTTTCTCCCTCCTCTGTACCCTTCTCTCCCTATCCCTAAATGGGACTTCTCTGAGTATCCTTTCTGGGGCATATTACTTCAGTCACTCAGGTTTTTCTTTTGGTTTGTTTTTACTCAAATCAAAAATAACTTCCTCTATGCATACAACTCATCAGTTCATCTTACAACAATATGAAAACAATACATATGCATCCTCTCACAGTAAGAGAGCTGGACTAACAAAATCAGAAAAATAAACAAAAGCCTCATTTGCTTTGAAGAACTACAAATGCCTACAAAGACCAAGATACAGGTATATTTACTTTTTCAAGTCCTGTATGGTCCAGAAGCAACCATCAAGAAACAACATTAAAATAACCCTATCAAGGAATAAGTTACTTGATCATAATGATAGTTTATGTTTGTGGATCACAAACCATACGCCAGGCACTGTCCTGTGCAGTATATGTATATAATTTCATTTCATTCTCACAGCAGCCCTAAGAGAAAGTTCTAATATTATCTCCATTTTCTACACAAAGAAAATGAGAAATTCAAAGGTTACAGGATGGCCTAAGGTCACAGTGGCAGCTCTACTAGATGTGAACTCAGGCTGGTCCCTGAGCCCCATGCTCTTTTCTCAGATGCCACAGAATTTTTAAGTAACTTAAAAACTGGATCTTAAGTATAAAGAGGGAGCTCTTTATTTAAAGAAATCTGGTGAATCATTTTCAAAATGAACATTTTGGTAAAGCATATATCCACCTCTTAACAAATTAGTTGAAAATCCAGACTTTTGTATGTGAGGTTTAGTAGAAAGTAGACTCCGTGTCTCACCAAATAAGGAAATAGAACATGACGCAAGAAGAGCTGTCTGGAGACCACCCAATCCAGCAGTTCCCAAAACTACACAGCATCAAGATGATTCCAAGAGACCATTAGGGTTCATTTAGATTGAAGGTCTAGGGTGGAGTCCCAGATTCCATTTTTTTAAGCTCTCCAGGTGATTCTGTTGCCCAGTCAGTCTCAGGAAACCTCTAAACTAGTCTAATTCTACAGCTTCCAGCAGGACTGCTCCCAAGGCAAACAGAAAGAGGCGATCTATTTCACATGGTTGCGTACACCAGTGTTCCCAACCCCTTACTGCTCCAACTTCTGTCTAACTTCCATCTCTCCTGACTTGATTCGGGCAATATCCTCTTGTTCTCTTTTCAACAGAGAACCATGAGTCATCATCCCTGCTTACACCCGTGTCTGCATGACTCTCCAGACCAGAAACATTTACTGTACATGAGGAAATCAGGAAGTTGTAAAATCCAAACAGACACAGAGAAATTCAAGATTCAACAAATACTGGTTGCCACTGAACAAACAGGCCTCTGTCTCCCTACACATGTGTCATTCTACAACAAAAACCTAAAACATGAAAACTGTGACTTACGATAACTCATAGCAAAACATTTCATCGCATTAAGTAAAGGTGACAATTAAAATGGCCAGGCTCAAGCATCGCAAAGTCAAATGTTGACTCCATCAACCAAATAAATTAAACCAAAAAGAGATACTTCAATGCAAGTTTTATAAAAACCTCTTGTCAATTTCTCAATTTCCCACACAATACAGTTTGCAAAGACAATGACATTAAAAAGTCCACGAAGTGCTAAAGCATGGCTAGTAGGTGATTTTTCCAGGTCAGACTTTATCCTCATATGGGAACTAGAGAACATCGCAAAACTCTCACCTGATAGGTGATGCACTTCCCTGTAGTGGCCGTAGAGGAAAAGACTGCTGTACAAGGATGACAAACAAATCTGCAGTTTGAATGGACCACCCTGACTCCTATAAAAGAAGAAAGAAAATGAAACCTATAACTTTCAAAAAGTGAAGAAGCTTAACCTAAAACAACAAAGTCCAAATTCTTAAATGTGAAATTTAGATTGACTTCTAGGAGACTGGAGATTTGATTCCGTGATACCAGTAAACATTCTCAAATGAGGCATATGGGTCCAGGGAGTGCAAGAGAGGAAATCAAAATGAAAAACAGAACAAAGTGCTTTAAAAAATAATTCCACTTAAAATGTCTATACACAAATCTTAACTTTAAGAACATCATATTTTGCTTTTTGTTCCATGAGAATTACAGATACTAGCCAGCTCAAAATGCAGGTCTGGTTTTACTCAACAGGGCTCGGAGGGAGGCCAACACACAAAAAGGTCATCCCTTCAATCAAATTAAGAGGTTGGGCTCCTGATTTGAGCCAGCAACTGTCATTCTTCTCTCTAATGATTCTAACAAATCATCTGATCAACACATGCTGGTATCACAGGAATATCAGGTGAAAATGGGCATGGACTGAATAGTAATTGAGCCAAAGTCTAATTTTAAGTTGGCATACATTACTATCAACATGCAACTTGAGGGACGATCATGAAAGAGCACAGTTATTAGCATACCAGACTAATGAGATAGAAAAAAATATCAAATTGCAGGAAAAAATTTAAAGAATACACATATTCACTAAACTTTCCACTAAACTTTAAATTATTTAATTACTGAATGTATATATACATCGTTTTAATTTTGCCACAATGCTTTACACATGGTAAAGTGAAAATTATCCACTGTATGACGAATGAGTGAATTGTGAATGGATGAATGAGAGAATGAATGAATCTTCCATATACCTTTCCATCAGGGACCTTGGTGCTTGTAGTTTTTGTGAGGTAAAGACCTATGCATAGAAATGGAAGAAGTTGAGGACTTGATCTGCTAACATAGTTTCAGCCCCGTCTATTAAAATCATATTTTTTAAATGCTGGCAATTTCCAATTGTCCACATTAAGTAGAATCAGTAGCATAGTTATTACAAAATATCCTCGAACTAGTCATCACTGGACTGATTTTCAGTCTTTGATTACTGGAGCTGATCTGCATATTTGTTTAGGCTGATTTTAAATTTAGTTTGGACGTCCTAAGCCCATGCCAGGTAAAAGTAGGAAGGAACAGGCCCAGGATTATATTGGGTGTCAGAAAGAAACTATTCTGGAGCTATGAATATGATCTCCAATGTGAATAATCTGTAAACAGGTTAAGTGAGCCAATTATCCTTGGGTACATGGCAACACATCTCAGTAGTCATGATTATTTTCATCCATACACACTCACTATTTTTAAGAGCACAACCCAGCTGGAAAGGAAAATCATTTCAATTGCTTTCCAACACTTTTCAAAGTAATGAATAGTAGCCAACGTATTCTTACTTCTAACTAATCCATTCACCAAGTATTTATTTAAACATCTATTGCAGTCTGCGACTGATAATCAAAAGAAGTTGGTTTTCTAGTCTTTGAATTTCCCATGTGGAATCTCTGAGTACAAAGAAAAAAGGTAAGCTGTTCTAGATGATAATGTCTTTGAAGACACTATCCCTCTGCTAAAAAGCTTGTTGAGTTACAAATTTAAATAGTAGCCAAGTTAAACAGAAGCTCACAAAATTCTATTTACTCTTACACAGTATTTGTTTTAAGAGGAGGATCTTGATTTTTATCTAGTAATATCAAATGAAGCATCAAAATACTGAATAATCATTTTCAAACAAGGTGCAGCTACCGTGGATTTGCATGCAGACAGCACTTGCTTTATGAGCTAACAGTTGAAAGGGTGTTTGCCTGTATATCGATGTGTGTGCACACGATCCTATTTACATATCACCTGGCAGATAAGGTTTTATAGAGTCCAAATTACAGTCTCCTGCTATTCTGAAGTGCAGAGAACAGTCAAATATGATGCAAATGCTGTAAAATATTAATTTACTCTCGCATTGCTATGCCTTCTTATTTCAAAAGTATTTGTGTTGCTACACCAGAGTAATTAAGAGAGTTAGCATAACTTGCTGTTTTCCATCAGAGGAAAGAAACAAGGCAGAGTGAATTTGCTGGAAAAAATGCAAGCAATATATAAGAAAATAACCTATAGACTGTTTTATACAATATATACACTAAAAATAAAATATATAATATTTAAAAAGCACAGAAGAGCAATAAAACATAATACTATTAAGAGTGAAAGATTACTAAGAAAAATGGCCTAAATAATACTGATGTGCTAGTCAATAAAGAATATAAATACAGGGGATATAAATACTTTGAGGAGAGTAAGCTAAAGCTAAGGGTGCATTAAAAGAAAATTTGCCACACGTAGTGACAAAAAAATATATTTTTTTCTTTGAATGTTAGAAGCATAAACTCTTCTAGGTTAGCAGCTAGGAGATTATCATTAAAAACTTCTGCTAAATGACTCCCTCAAAACATCACATTAAAGAGCACGCAAGTAGAAAAAAGAGTTCCTCTTAGCCTGAATCGAAACATCATAATCAGGAAAACTTCTGCTTCCTTAAGTCTCAAATTCTGATTACACTACAATGAATTTTCTGAAAAGTAATTTTCAGGTAGCATCTAATTTTTGCTTACGTTGTGGCAATTATCATTGTATTTTCGTTACTCCACAAATGGGATGCATTAAAAGTTATAGAAAAATCAATGAAACATTTCTGCTAACATCAAATATGTCAAAGAAAATATAATGCTTCTTGTTTTTTTTGTCTGTAAAGTTCTAAACATGTTTTAGTACACTTGTGATGGTAATATATAGCGCAAATATTTATCATACATTAGCCTGAAAAGTTCAGTTTATAAGAATTATAAATTTTAAGGATTTATATTTTCTTAAAACTTGATCCAGTTACAACTCTTTCAGCCAACATTTAAAAATAGTCTCTAAAATTAGCACTCAGTATACTCATTATTATATCATCTCTTAAAGACTTTTTGAATGAGTATTTTATTAAACTGAATTAAAAGAAACTAAAATTTGAACAGCATAATTGATGGCTACAAACTTCATTCTTAAAAACAGGGCAGGCAGTCCTGTTGTAAAGTCCTGAAACAGAAATTATTCTCTCTACTGGGATTTCTATGACATTATTTTCAATGCTTTTAACAAAATGAGGGCCTACTTTGACAACTTTGCAAGTGTGACCAGAACTAAATCTGTTCTTTGAAGCAGTTAAATTGCATATATCTAAATCTCTCACAAAAGCCAATCAAATTATCGTTACTCTGAAAACATAAAGCAATAGAAATTAAACACTCTCCCCCCGAAAAAATGATGTTTTGTCTGACTGCACTATCCCTTTACATATGCAAGTATTTAAGCTCTTCAGAGCCTAAACTATGTGTTACTTTCAGACAGCAATAGTTTAAATAATTAACATTCACGCCTACATTTTCTAAATTTCAGGGTTTTAGTAAAATGTTTATTGACTAACTTCTAATAGGAAACAAAATGAGCCAGTGTCACAATTTGTTAGTCATCAGAAACTGTCATTGAAGGTAAGTGCCAAAGTAAAATCCACTTGACATTTCAGAATGTAAAAAAAATAAAGGCACATTATACAAAAGGAATGTGAGTCCTTAAACTCTGTATGTCAACAAAAACAAGAGTCACAGAAATGTGTTCACTATTATTTTAATAATCTCTTAGGGCTGGCCTTTCCCAGGACTTGCAGACAACTGAGCAAGGTATGTTGAAATATAGGGCTCTCTACAAGCATTTGACATGTAATCTTATGGCTAAAGAGTTTTTCTTGAATCTTTCTCTACGAGTAGAAAACAATTCAAAGGCTCTTCATTTCTGTTTACCAAACCCTCTTAAAATGAAATCCAGAGAGAAAAATATTAACTTGTACACTTTCCAATAAAGTACAGTTTTCATACTTATTTTAGCATAAATTTGTGCATTTAAAAATAAATGTTCATATTTTATTGCAGGTAAAACTGTTTTCTGTATGTTGCAAAATACCATCCAGGACCTCCAAGGTGTTGCATAAAACTTACACTTCTGTGCCTTATTTTATATCCTTGCTTCCCATCTATTTACCTCCTAGGAATAATAGCTCATATTAACCACTGAAAGCTCGATCTGAGAGGACCACAATCAAGTTACTAACTATATAAACTCACTAGAAGAAATTGTAACTGCACCTCCAACCCCGGATGGAGTAAGTAGCTCTCTTAATCCTAGCCCCAGGGGGAAAAAAAGGATTTACGGATTTAGTTACTGGACTGTAAAACTGTAAACCGACTGGCAGGGTCACAACTAAATCAAGACATGATTATTCTCAATTATTTTTACCTTCAAATATCAGAGTTACTAAAATACTTCTCTTTATTTGGATTGCCTGAGCAACACAGAGTTTCCACAACCAAAGCTTTTTTCTTTTTTTTTTTTGCAACAGTATTATTTTTCTTTGCTAAATAGGCTTAATAAGGAGGTGCCCTAATGCAAAGAGTTGACTAATGCACTCTAAATTATTAAATGCTCATTAAATTATATCCTAAAATAGAATACAAGTTGTTTATTGTGCAAAAGTACCACACATTATCAGCCTACCAGCTACAGGCCTATATCATCTTTCTTCTGAGACAAAAACGTTTTAACTTAGTACCACGGATATAAAGGCCAAAAGATCCAAATGAAGAATGGCTGCCTATCGTCAGTCCCATTTTTCGGTATTACGATGGCTGTGAAGTTTTTAAAATGTGACAATGGGCTATCCTTCCCAAATAAATTACTTCTGCTGAATAAACCCTCTAGAAAACCAGTCATAACTAGTAGCAATGTAGGTTAAAGGATGAGCACGTTCACACTTGAAAGGGTTAAGTGCCTGCAAGGCCAAGGGCACCAGACAGCAAAAGAAATGTTGCTTAATCAGCTCTGAAAGGTTTCTAACAAGTACCAAATACTTGTTGATCTGTTCACAATAAACACCCGCAGGATTGTCAGGCTCCTTTGACTGTCTGGGGAGAGGCATTTACATACTGCACCCAGTAAGAACTGCTTGTTGATCTCCTTTATAAGAGTAGAAAGAAGCCTCATTCAAGTGTCTTCTGTCCAAATGACTGAAAGGAGATGCAATTGAAATAGTGAAGTCTCTCATCTGTCTTGGGCAACACAAATACTGTGCATAAAACACTTGGAGTAGTCCAGGCTCAAAACAAACCCACCTGAATGGACTGAGGAACACTGTCTGTTGCCATGGCAGCCTGATCTAATTACATGAGTGATCAGGACTAGAGTAAGTAAGTGGAGGGAGAAGCTACACCACTGACCCGTACCTACAAGAGGAGAAAGGGAAACAGGAGGTTCTGGAGAGACTTCGACCTCTGCTTTATGTAGAAGGGGGCACTCAAGCCTATTTGTCTGTGGAGCTGCTAAAATACTGACTGATGCATGCACAGTTAAAGGGCAGTCAGAGGAGATTAAATGCCACAGTATTAGCAGTTATGGTGCAATCCCTTTCCAAGAGTTCATGTGCAGGATTTTCTCCTCCTCTCTCCGGTGGTTTCCCCAGGCATAAGCTTCATTCCAAACAAAAGCTCAAGTATCAAACTACCATCAACCATCAAATAAACCACAAGGTGGGCTTAACAGGGGCTTCTAGGAACTGCAGGGCTCCTCAGAAACCCAAACAGAAATGGCTTAGCTAAAAGTGTTGAAAAGTAACTAGCTGCGCCTAAAAATAACGATCAAGTAACTACCCTCTGCTCTGAGCGATATGTAACGATGATGTTTAAATATTAAGAGCAGCCTGCATTATAAAACACAAATGTCATTGAGCTACGACTACTTAATTGCCAAAGGAGAATTTATTTGCATACACGCATTCCCGTGCATGCACTAAGGATGTGCAGGGAGTATGCTATTCTAAGGCATTTGATTCGTGGCTGTAATGGGGTCTTCTAATTTTGCTAATTGTATCCTGTGGATCTTACAGGGAACCTAAGAATCTCTTCGGGTACAGAACCAGTTTGGAGGAGTCCCTACTGCATAGCATACGGTAAACAAAATAAAAATAGCTTGCCGTTCTCGTTAGCCACATCGCGCATTATATAACCAGCTTCCGATTTTTTTTTTTTTTTTTTTTTTTGCCCTTACTACTCTTCAGCAATTTCCCAATCTTCCGAAGTATTTATATTACCCTTATCTGTAGGATTATATACTGAGAGCAAAACACAACTAAGCCGCCACGGGACTAAACTGAACCTCACCGTCTTTAGGAACTGATTTTTGTGTTTTCTGGCAGGATCTCCACGACCACCCTACTTCCACCCCCCACCAAGGTTTTTGCTTAATCTCTCTAGAAAACCTGGATTGTTTCATCGCTTCCAGTCAGCCCCCTACGTGGTCTGAAATAAAATGAAAGCACAAGCCACGGAGTTTGAGCAGGCGGCCTGCGGGCGGGGAGCTGAGGAAGGGTCCGGCGCTGCAGAGTCACCCAAGTGGCCTCAGAGGGCCCCCTCCCCATCGCGACAGCTCCTGTCGGCGCTCTCCCGCCCCCCCCCTCGCGCGCACACACACACACGCACACACACACACACACGCGCGCGCGCACGCTCACTCACTCACACTCCCGCCGCGCTCTGCCGCCGCCTCACCTCTCACTCCGCCCGCCCGGCCCCTTCCCTGCCCCCAGCGGGGCCGGCCTGCGCGCTGCGCTGGGACCACGTAGGAAGCGGCGGCGGCCGCGGGAGTGGCAGCGTCTCTGGCCTGACCCGGAGTGAACGAGCAGCGGGGCCCCGGGGCGCATCCCAATCGCCGCAGCGCCTCCTCCGCCGCCGCCGCCGCCTCCTCCTACCTCTGCTCCTGGCTTCATTCACCCTCCCAGCAGCCGCGCAGCCGTTCACTCCCGGCGCAGGCAGGGCAGCGCCTGTCGCTGCTCCTCTGCTTCTGCCGCGGGCAGGGGCGCCGGCCCGGGCTGGGGCGCTCGCGGGCTCCCGGCTCCGGGCGGCGGCGGCTGCACAGGATCAGGAAGCGGCCGTACCAACAGGGCGGCGGAGGCAGCAGAGCCAGGGCAGCCACCCCCACTCTCACTGCACTCCCGGTACCTAGCGACCCAGCGCCCAACCCTCTGCGCCCCCAGCGCTCCCACTGCCCGTGGCAGAGTCCCGGCGCCGCCGCTGGTGCTGACCCCTCTTGGTCCGCAACTGCATGCCCGGCGAGGCCGGCCTCCGCAGGGAGACCCTCACCCTGGGGCTCCGAGGCCAGGTAGCCACCCGGGGGGTAGCCCTGCCCTCATTCAGACACGCTTGCTCTCGTCGCCCTCTTTGGGGAGAGGGGTGAAGAGGAGGCGGCGGAAGGAGGGGGCAGCGCGACCCCTGGCTACCGCCACCTCCCTCTATGCCACCTCCAGGGAGAAGGACATGGCTCTCCGCACTCGCAGCGGGACAAGCAGCCTCCCGAGCCCGGCGCTGCGGCTGCTCTTCCCGCCCGCGCCCCCAGCCCGGGCGAAGCGAAGATTAAGATTTGTTTATGTGAATAGATCATTTTTTTGAGGTGGATGTTATAAAAATATTTTTGCTGATGGAACCATTTCCACCTTCACAATCATAACACACACACACACACACACACACACACACACACAACACAACATGCCGCGTCGATTTCCTCCGTTCCTCTTCCAGCTGTTTTCCGTGCCGCCGGTTGGGATTTGGGGTTTGTTTGCTGGTTGTTGCTTTGGCCGCTCTCAGGAGAGCGGGGGTAGGGGGGATCTTAATCTAAATCAGGGGAGAAGGGGATGGGGGAGGGGGAGAGACAGAATCAGAGGAGAAAAAAAATCGCCACTTACTGTAAAGTGTAAATGGATCTGGGGTGGCGTGGGGAAGGGGGGGCAGAGGGAGAGAAACAGTGTCTTGCGGCCGCTGTAGCTCTGGCTGCTGTTCCACGGGGCTTGTTTTGGATTCCCCTGCAGTGAAACAGGTCCTGTACGGCTCCGCCACTGTAGTAGAAATGATGTCTGCGGTATACTCTGTTCTCTCCTCCTCCTCCTCCTCCTCCTCCCCCCGCTCCGCTCCGCTCCCTCCTCCCTCCGCCCTCCCTCCCTCCCTCCCTCCCTCGCGCTCTCTCGCGCTCGCTCGCTCGCTCCAGTATGTAAATGTGTAATAGAAGCCAAATATGGAGCAGTTGGCTGCCGCCGCCGCAGCTCAAGGATCCGACCAGGAAGGGGGGTAGAGGGGGGACACCCTCCCGCGGGCGGCAGGGCAAGCGGCTTGGAGCCCTGCGAGCGCACGGCGGGCGGCCAGCCCTCGCCCTTAACCCTTCAATGCTCGTGGCCCGCTCTTGGCGGCCTTCGGGTATACCCGCACGTTTCTCCCAAGACTGGCTCGGGATCAGGGGGCGGGGAGCGGGAGGGAAGACACCGGCCAGAGGGAGGCAGTTCTGCAAGGTTTGGATAGGGGCAGAGAGCTGAGGCGATGAGGTAATTGTAGCGGTGACCGGTCGGTCCTCGCGCGCCTCCCCGGGTCCCTGCACCTAGTTGGAGGAGACAGAGCAACAGCAGGGTGCAACTCAGGCACCCTGGAGGATTCTCCGGCTCAGAGCCAGTGAAATACCCCAGGGGGGAGGGGAGGCGGGCTAGTTCTCATCCCTACGTGCCCTTCGTCCCGGGCGCGCGGAAAAGCGTCCAAGAGGGCTGACTGCGATCATCATGCACGTTAACCCTCAAACCGGTTTAGCTTCGGCGTTCGGGAACCCAGACCATCGGGCCGAGGGGAGTACGTTTGCATGCAACTCTAGAAAGTTTTAAGGGTCCCCCCCCGACTGCACGTGCACCCACACCTTTACTGCCTGTAAAGCTGATGACCTCCCTGACCTCCTTTCTCTTTCTGCAGGTCTGGAAATCTGCTGTGAGTATTGAACTACCCAGCTCTAGCCTTGGTAGACGACCCGCGCACTCCTCTCGCAGCTAATTCGGGATCATTAATTTAATCGGAAATGAGGTAACCAGTGTAGGAGATAAAGCAAACCGAGCATTAAATGGCAGTTCTTGTGAATCCGCGCTGAAGAACTTCCTCTGGACTCAATTTTTTAGTAGCTGGACGGGAAGGGACCTTTTTTCGAGGGATGCTCCTTGCCAACAGGTGTGGCACCTGGAGGAAGAGAAGTCAAACCCATGCTAAAGGGAGCTCAGTGCGGCGTTCCCCTTGCTGCAGATAATTCTGGAAGACCAGTAGGTGTCGGGGCAGCATTTCACCTCCTTCAGGTGCTTAGAACCCGGTGTCAAGAAACATGATCTCTCCAAGTAAGTTTCTCTCTGGAAGCCACTACTTTTGACTGTAGGCTGTATTTGAGAAACCTTTTGGCTGAGTTTACTTATGACCTAACGGTTAGTCACCAACTGAAGCAGGATACAGAATCATCAAGAGAAATGTGTCAGCTTTTCAACACTAAATTGTAGAGACGTGCTACAGAAATAAAAAAAAATAAGTATACTAACTAGGAAGGTGTAGAGCCCTGGAAATAATTTTATTCTCACATTTTGAAATGCCATGTACATATACATGGCTTAAATAGTACTACTACTGTTTACTCTTTCTCTGTTTCTACAACTTTTTTTTTTTCCATTTAAAAATTAGTAATTGTTACAGTTTAAACCCTGGGTTGGTCTCAAGTGACATTGTTGGTCTCATTACAGCCTCTAGTGGACAGTTAAAATCAGTTTCCTAAAAAGGCTCTGCCCTGTGTTATGTTCCTTAACAAGTATTATCAAGGTGAAAGTTAATACCTCAGACATAACCGAGTAATATCTCTTCCCCCCTCTTGGCAGAGCTGGATTCTGAAAGAAGCAGAAGCTGTTGGCTCTGCACGGGAAAGACATATTTGTGCTGCAGGTATTATTATTACTGGCCTGAGAATAAACAGAGAGCTTCTGCTATTCATTTTGGTTTCAGACAGCTTTCATAAAAACTGAACTCATCTAAAATATTTTTATAACAGAAAATGTTGGTTGCCATGTTTTTGGCTTAACTGAGATGTTTTTATTCCAACTCCTAATCTGCAGACTGTCCAATCTACCTCCACTCTATTTTTAGACATCTTACATTTAGAGAATTTTGGTAAAAAAAAAAAAAAAAAAGCTATTTTAATATTACATTGACACAAGCAGTTAATTTATTTTAACAACCTTAAACAAATTAAAACTCATAATTCAGATTAGAGTTAGTCAATTAATTTAAATATTCCTTCAAGGAGCTAAATATGTATATTACCCAAACAGTAAGAACAATTAATAAGAAATGTGTCATTTACTTTCTTAACCATTAAGATTAAAGTCATAAACTGCTATTAAAACCTGTAACTATTTCTTCCTGCAAGGCCCAATGAACATAAACAATTGATGATAGTTTCATTACCTTTAGTACTGAAATGTTTTATTTTCAAATGGCAAGATAGTAAATGTGCAATCACAAATAACTGATACTGATTCTTTAAAAACAAGACTCTTCGTGCAAATAAAAACTCAATGAAAGAAGAACAGAGTTTTCAAGAAGCCAATAGGCAAATATATAGTACTGTAGTCCTGTTCATAAGCCTGATACTATATTTGTACAAACATAAGTCAAACTTTGAAATTAAAGGAAATTGAGAAATAAGGCCAGCTGAGCCTTACTCCTAATTTGTGTTCTGCATTACTTAAACACCATGGAAAATCATTTTCATCCCTTCTATCTATTTCACTGTTTTGGTAGTATCTACTTTTGAAGGTCTAAAATGAGGTATCAAATATATCATTACATCTAACTTCTTAAAGCTAGTCTTCAGAACAGCAGCAGCAGCATCTGGGAGTTTTTTAGACATTCAGAATGAGAGTTCCAACCCAGACCTGCTGAATCAGAATCTGCCTTTTAACCAACCTCTCGGTTATTCCTCAGCACATTAGAGTATTAAAAATGCTGTTTGTACTCAGGGCTCTGTCTACATGAATTTGGCCACAGATGTAGAATTTAATTCTTCTATTTATTCCCTTTTTATTCCCTCCTCCTTTTATTAATTTGCACTTTTTAATGAAACATTATTACATTTTATGCTTTGGTCAAATAGTACTGCATTTCAGAAGAGCTCTGAAAATGCACAAATCTACATTAGCATTGCCAAGAGAACACTGTGAGGAATGTGCTGGGGTCTTGAACGCAAAGGTTTTCTTCTCAGCAGCAGAGGGAGCACAAGAGTACTTAATAAAAAAAAGTGTACAGGCTGTCCAAATCATAAGAGATTTTAAATTGTAGTATATGTTTTCATTGGAATTAGCCTCATATAGTTCCACACAAAATAAAAACAAGCAAACACAGTTTACCAGGTTATAACAACTAAATAGTGCACAGATTGGAAGTTAAATAGAAATTAGATGTACTTATTTAGAGTTTTAGGCTTGAATCCTTAAAAGAAAATGGACCTCAAAAGTCATACTTGGAAAAGAAGCCTTAGCTTTTCTCCAGTCAAAAATAAAAATAACAATCATCATTTCACAATATATGTAAATCAAACCATCCTGCTGTTTGCTTAAACTTATAGAGCGATGTATGTCAATTATTTCTTAATAAAACTGGAAAAAATAAAGATACAATGCAGAATAAGGCAACTCGAAGAGTAACTCCTGCTTATCTAAAAACGTTGGGGACAATAAACCCAACACTATAGCAGATAAATTTATTTCATTTGAACTCAAATATGTCGGTGAAAGAATGCACTTTTCACCATGTTTACTTTCGCAGTAATTATAGGGGTTTATCATTAATGTTTGCTGTGGTGAGGACATATGTTTCAATTATATCTATGTAGCATTTTATACCTCTCAGAGCCTTTGAATTGCATCTTCAAACACTCCTGTGAGGTAGATAAGACATGGGAAAGCCAAGCCTCAAAAAAGTTTTGAACTGGCTTGTGCTTTCATAGCACTGGGTCATTTGATTGTTATAATAATCCATTAAGGTGTTCAGAGAGGAGGGAAATCAGAGGTTGAGGATCCAGCAGCATGTTTTTTAGAGATTAAAAGGTTATTTAAAGTTACTAGATAATGAATATTTAATGAGTGAATATTTAAATGAGAGACTTATGAATAGAGACTATCTTAATTCTCAAGTTACTTTTTATGTATTTATCACTTATTTACCAACAGCCTTTATGATTTTATGCATTTATCACTTATTTACCACCATTTGTTGAACATCTACCATAACTAGGCCCTGAGAATACAAAGATGAGTAAGACATATCTGTCCGCAAAGAATTCACAGCAAAACAAATCTTATCTTTTGAAAAATGTTCATTTTTACCATGATGAAACGTAAAGATTCACAGTTGTTTGATCCAGCACCTCTAAGAATCATTATATCAATCAGATTTCCAAATAGGAGAATCAAGAGTAAATTTAAGTGGTAAACATTTAGTTTTAAAAATCTTTTTTAAAATTGTTCAAAAGAATTTCCTCCTACATGAAAGAAGATTTGCCAAGTTTCTGTCTGGAGCAATTTGTTATGGCTGTGTAATAAATCCCAGAAAGTTTGAATTTTTAATGAAACACTGACAGACCTTTAACCATGCTGTAATAAAGAGGGTGTTATCCTACATATGTCATTTAAAAATCTGAACAAATCATAGCAGGCTTGCAAAACAAATATACTTTCCTTAGACTATACTCCAAAATAAAGCTGGAGAGACCAGAAAAGTAAAATTAACTAAAAACAAAAGTGAAAACCACTCACACAATAGGCTCTGAGGTCAGCTCACCACACCCAAACTAAAGTCACTGGGCTCTGAGCGTGGCACAGGGACTCTTAGAGGACTATGCTTCTGAATCATCTTTCTTGACCCTCCACCAAACTGTAGCAGGGCAGGCTTCTGGGTGATGGAAATGACATCACCGATAGGCAGGAGTAAAATTAAAATCGTTGTACTTAAACATCTGCCAACAGTTTATGAGTTAACAGTATACACATTGGGCAATTTTAAATAAGATTCTGTCTACAATTAAAAACAAAACCAAGTGCTTTAGTATAGGTCTGTACTGTCCACTGTGGCTATTAAGTACTTGAAATGTGGTTAGTCCAAATTGAGTTGTGTTGTAAGTGTATTATATACATCAGATTTTAAAGGCTCAGTGCACTCACGTATATATATCTCAATAATTTTTACATTGATTAAATGTTGGAATCAAAATATTTTATATATTAGGTTAAATATATTGTTAAAATTAATTTTACTTTTTTTTTTTGCTTCTCAATATGGCTACTATAAAATTTAATACTACATGTGTGGAAGGATTGCATATTATATTTTTAATGAACAGTACCTCTAAGTACTTGTAGATAATGAGGCTGAAGAGATGCAAGAATGAGTTCTAAAAACTCACACAATTAGAGACCTTAGAATCCTGGCGAGGCTCTCTGCAGTACTGTAGTAGATAACTTAGTAACTTTTCTACTTTCCTTAGGTTTCCCCCTTACAATGTATGACATGGACCTTTTTCCTTGTTAAAAAGATCTCTGAGAGGGAGCTATTTATGAGTGAAGGCATCATCTCACTGGTAGATCAGTTATTGGCTTGCAAAACAAAAATTTGTTTAGGCCCTTCTGTGACTCAGTCTTTTTGGGGGCGATCTAAGGTATTTTGCCACCCTGGGAAGCTGATGAAAAACTTACAATCTGTTTTAGAAAGCCCAAGCAGTCTAGAGTTATAGCTGGTTTTGCTGCTTGAGGCTGAATGGTTTGGTATTGATACCCTCTAGTGACAGATGCCTTTGGACATTGATAATAAAAATTATACAATTGCTGCTTAACTAGAAAACAAATTAAGGCCACCAAAAGGAAATCTGTTTAAAAAAAAAAAAAAAACTTGCTAATATGTTTAGTACAATAGGACACATCAAAAAAATTATTTTTAACCATTATTATTTATTTTACAAGCAAGACCTAGATACATTTTCATCAATGTAACTGTGACCAAGATTGAATGTAATGCAATGACCCATGAAGTATCAGAATTTATGGTCTTAATTATCTAAAGAACATGGCTCTTCAAACATGAAAAGAAAACAGACAACTTCTTAAGTCTTAGAATGAGTGAGTTGAATTTTGCTTGATATTGGCCAGGAGCATTTGGAAATCTATTAAAAGCATTTCATTAACAACTTGGCATTTTGCTTCCTCAAAAGAAATACTTTTTCCAAATTAAAATCAAAGCCCAAAGCCACCATTGCTTGAACTTACGGTAGTGGCTGTTGATGTATTGCATATGTAAAACAAAAGGTTCCTTCAAAATCAGATCACGAATAACGACAGGCTAAAAAAAAAAAAATCGAATTATTACGAAAGGAGAGAAATGAAGTTCTTTGTTATTCTAACTTCATGACATTAAAACATACATACACATAGCTATAAGCTCTCAGTTACTTTATTTTTCTTGAGTCAATATCAGCCAGGAGAAGCAGAATCAAATGAGGGTCAGA